GGAAGATCCTCTTGCGCTCTGAAAGTTATCATTCGTACACTAATTTCCTATTACAAAAACACTCCTTGGTGTGGATTTATGTAAGGGTTGGTTTAGCACGTATTCTTCCAGGGGAATGAGAAAAAGATTCTGTTCATCTTCATCACTATTTTTAGAACTAAATCAGTGCTTTTTTTTTAGTACAACTAGAGTATGTGAATTTGAACCTCCTACCTTAAATGAAGGAGTACATGCCAATTACCATTGAGTTATGCTCCCTTTGAAGAACTTAATGAAAAACACTCATATGGAGCAAAAATCCCAGGTTTTAAATTATACACGCTATTTCTGGATTATAACTCAAACCACCTTTTTAGGATGTATCTCGCATCTATAATTCTACCACTACCACACATAGGGCAAGCACTAGATAATAATAAATCAAAGTAGGTAGCTCGAATCTTACTTATTCCATCTACCATGCAAAAGCAACTCATCTGAGCAAACTTTCCATTTGGTCTATTAGTTTAATTCTTCCTTTGGGTGCAAGAGATTCTGAATTGAGAAGCCTTAAGTTAAGTGTTTTTGACTTCTCTAAGATAAACATTCAACCATGAAAGATGGAGATACCAGCTAGAATCCAACATAGCTCACCCACCATGCATAACTTTAGGTTTTACTTATCTTCAATAAAATGTTGCAAAGAAGCAAGTAATGGTAGTAAAATCAAAGGTTTAGTTGATACGTTCCCCTATCATGGAAAATCAACATGTTTGGGTACCCTGCCCCTTAGATGCATCACTTGTATCAGTTTGCTAGAACCTTTGATTTTACTATCATTACTCGCTTCTTGGACAGAATATTCCTTTTGTAAAAATCTGATTATGATTCTAAAATAAATGTATTTCTAGAAGTCAGGCTGGACATTTGATCTACTGGTATCAGTTTGCTATGGGTGCAAGAGATCCCCAAGTTCAATTCTTGAAATGTCCCTTCTTTAGCTTCAGTTTCAACCAACTATTAGTACTACATTTTACAGTTAAAGAGAATGATTTTAACTTTCCAAACTAAAAACAAGATTGGGTACATTCTTGCGTTTATATCAAATCCTCAAAAGCGGGTGCATAAAAAAACCACTAGTATCCTACCAGAAAGGTTAAAGATCACATACAGAGTTCATGTCTGACAAGATTATTCAAAAATCGAAGCAAAACGCCCCAACAGAGATCATGTCTGACATGATGAGTTAAAAAGAAAGCACGTTACTGTTCAGTAATATACATCAAAAGAAATAGTCAACTGCAATTTACTTACAAGAATAGGCATCAAAGAAGCAGCTGCACCTTGTATCCTGGTTGAAAGCTTGTCCACCATGTACACATTTTACTTCAAATTGGACACAACTTGTCCGCCATGTTAGAGCTCAGCAAACTAGAATTAGTAACATTCCTTGAAATTTCTTTCACCAAGCTGAATGAACATGCATCACATCAGCCAGATTTTTACAGTTAATTCAACGTCAGCAATTCAGCTTTGACATTCCCCTCGTACAAGCAAAGATCAACACAGGAAGAAAACTGAAACAACAAGATTCTTGAAAGAGGAAGAGAAAACTGGAAATCACAACCACTAAAATGCGGAACAATCTTGATAAGAGATTCAAAATATAAATGTTTTTAAAAAAATGAAAACACACTATTTCATTGAAGAAACAGACAGCTTAAACAAAAAGAAAAGTACAAAAAAGAGGAGCACGTACAAAAGACATAAAAAATTAGATATTACAAAAGAGCAAAAAGGCTCTGATTTACAATAATGGTTTGAAACAGACGGCTGATCCCTAATGATATAACTCTTGCTCAAGGGTTAGAGGATCTGAGTTCAATGTTTGGAACACCTCTATAACAATTTTGTAACGATTATTCCTTCTTGAGTTACATTTTAAGGGCTTTCAATCATATGATATGACTCTTGCTCAAGGGTTTAATGCACAGTATGTATGCAATACTGTAATTTTGTCCATATGGAAAGAAGTTTCTCGTGGTACAAAATCCATAGAAACTTGCGCTTCAAAATCAAATACCATAACCAGCATAGACCTAGTCGTCGACAGGCAAGCTACAAAACTAAAGACCTTTACAATCTAATGACTCAAAACATAGACATTTATCAAAAGACATTAGCTATCTCACAAGATTCCACTCCAGGACTGTACTGTAATGCTAAAGAATATGTTGAAAGCATACACCAACACGTGATCTTAAAGTTAAAAGAAAATATGCCATACATGACTATGTTCAAGAAACAACAAACGTGAAAATACAGTATTAATCACTTCGTAAAATCACATAACAGAGGTTCAGTAAGCGATCACTTGTTTATTTAGTGTAACATCATTCTTAATCCCCACAAACACATACAAAACATCATTTAAACGTTCGTTATTCGACATCTCATTCATCCTACAGCCGCAAAACGAAACTACGAGATACAGCAATTAGCACACAAACTACAACTTCTTCAGAAACAAAGTAACCTAATCAACAACCAATCTGAATACAAGTATCACACAAACACGCAGCCATATAAACCACTACCTGCCACACTCTACCTGACGCTGAATTTAATAAATACGGCAACGAAGCTCATGCGAAGTAAAAAAAAAAAAAAAAAAAGCAACCACACATATCGACATGAACACGGATAGCTTAAGCAACTTCACCTGGTTTTTCAACCAACCTTCAGAAATCACTGGTTGTACTACCTGTGTGCTGGCCGGA